CGGAGGACACGGGTCACTTGTCTCCACATGCTATTGCATACTGGACACTCATTTCCATGAACATGACACTTGAAAGGAGGGGCCATGATCGTCTCCCGCCAGATACACCAGAGGCATTGGCTGGTCCATGCACCGTCTCTAACAGAGGAGACGCTCTTCCACTAACAAGGACGGGGCTGTGCTTCCTGTGGCGCCCATGGCATCTTGGAAAATGGGATGACTTTTGGAACACATGTCCCATTAAAGGAGTCACCCTTTTAACTCCTGGTGGCTCAAAAGCAGATAGACGGGGAAGAGGCCTGTGGCCTGGTCAGACACTGGGTTAGAATAAGGTTCGGACAGAGGCGGTCTCTTCGTGAGTGTGCTTCGACTGGCTCTGGCGATGCACTGAGGCAAAGCCACTGGACACAAGACAGTCCACTCCCGACACCCCCACAGATGTGCTGCTTATGACACGTCAGAGCCAGGGGCTGGCCAGCGGGGTAGCAGAGGGGAGCCCCACAAGTCGGAGGTGGGGGATTCTAAGTGGAGGTGAGAGGGGGGCAGTCGAGGAGGCTACTGTAGTCATGGAAGCAAAGTCAGGGGTTCATCTTGTGTTGTATAAATACCTAAAATGGAATCAAAAAGATTTGAATAAGGATTCATTTTGCTAATAACCAATAGGAACATGTTTGGAAATTAAAAGGAAAACAAAAAACCAAACAACACAATAGCAAAGGGCTTTCTCAGACAGGCTCTTGGGGTGTGCTTTGCCTTGGAGTTTCCTGTTTTCAGCATTTTTCAGAGAACGGAAGGAGGAACAAACACACCTGGAATCCAGTGAGTAAATTCCAGGACACAAGGGTCCCTAAATGCACACTGTATCAGCCAAGTCCAGGCTCTGGGTCTTTGTCAGAATTTCAGGGGACCAGGGCTTTCCCTTAAGGAGCCCTGGTGGTGCAGTGGGTTACACATTGGGCCACTAACCCGAAGGTTAGTGGTTCAAACCCACCAGCCATTCCTCAGGGAAAGATGAATCTGTCTGCTCCAGAAAAAATCCGCAGGCCCAGAAGCCCTGCATCGTGCCATCCTGAGTCAGAATCTGTAACTGGGTGGACACGGGTGCTTCCTGCAGGGTCTGAGCAGAGAATGTGCATGGGGATCTGGGCGTGCAGGGCAGAGATTCGCCATGGACCCTCCTATGCCGGCATCCAGCTAGCCAGTGTCGCTGCCTTGAGCACACGTGTCCAAAGCCCAGGCTGAAAAAGCTGAGGCTTTAGCTCCCTGTGCCTTCTGGAGCCTGGACACAATAACAGCAGAACACACACGCGCACACACACACACACACACACACACACACACACACACACCACACACCACACACACCCTGGAGCCGCCTGGACACAACAACAACAGCAGAACACACACACACCACCACCCCCACCACCCCAGACACACACACA